GGCTTCCAGAAACCTGCACTGCTTTGGTACAGTGTCTTTAGTTTAGAAACAGGGAAGAGAATTAGAGAAGAAGACTCAGAGACTGTGAATTAATATCTTAATTGGTACAATGATGACCAACTGCCCATCTCCTTATCTTCAACCCTATAGTTTAATTTTAAGACAATGTTCTGCATGTTCAGCCTTAAACATGTTGAGGATTTGGTGCTATCAAGCATTTTTGCTGGTTTTTGATCCCATTTTCCCTTTTTCACTGCATTGCTCCCAAGTTTTCCCAGTCTTTGGACAATTATTGGTGTGGGTTTATTGCTCTGCTTTTAAAATTGTCATTATCCAGGAGGAGGAGGAGGGACCTCCTCGGGTGGCTGTGTGGAATAACTCTGTTCTTACCTAATTGATTGGACAAGGGAAGTTAAGTGTGAAACTCCTCCTTATTGTCCGTGTCCTCTCTCTAATTATCCCAGCTCGGCAAGAACATCCCAAATGTGCAGGACAGGCCTTCTCTGCTTGTTCTCCCTCAGCAGGAATTTCTCCAAACCTCCAGGCTGCTAATCCAGCCCTTCCAGAGGGGTCTGGGCGCGGGATATTGCAGGCAGACAGAGCTGAGCTGATGTGGGAAGGGGGTGACCCCCACCCCCTCCCATCCTGTGTCTGTGTCTGTCCAGCTGCTGGGACGTGTGTCCAGCTGGATTTTGTGCTGGGATCAGACCGAGTGCACCCAGATGTTGGTGGGGGAGGAGGCTGTGGCACCGCCGTCCCCCCATCCCGACAGCTGCCCTGGGCACAGGGGTGTTGGGGAGAGGGGGGCAAGGCACCATCTCCCACCCGTCCTGAACCCGCTGCTGCCAGAGCACAGGCTGTCCTGGCCAAGGCCTGGAGCAGGAGGTGGGAGCTGAACTCATCCCTGCTCTGGCAGAGGAGCCAGACGAGCTGCTCCTGCGCTGATTCCTCGGAGCTGAGCTCCCACGCCTGGCCCCGCGCTCGGCCCGGGGTCCTGCGGCCACCTCTGCAGAGGGGAGAGGGGACATTCCCATCCTACGCTCTCCTGCCTTCTCGGAGAGATCAGGACAGAGATTGGGGTGGTTGAAAAGCAGAGCCTGGAGCCTGCAGAGCTTGGGAGCTGGAGCGACAAGGCTGATGCGAGTCTGCTGTGGCAGCAACCAGATGGGGCCGGCTGGGAGCAGGAGCTGGGGCTGGACACCGGGAAGGTGTCCTGGGAGGGTCCCCGGGCACCTGCGCGGGGTGACAGGCACGTCCTGGGGGGGGGTTATTGCAGGGATGGGCTGTGGGTCCCTGGTTCCAGGGCCATCCCACTGCCCGGCTGCTCCACAGCCTGCGGGCTCTGGGTGGGTGCCGGGGCTCAGCTGCCCCAGACAGGACACCCCCACTTTGGGGCTTTGGGGACACGTCTGTGCCCGTGTTTGCTGCAGGTCCCTCGCCGTCACACTGTCCCCGAGCTCCCTCAGTGCCACCCCCTCTTCTCCGGGCTGGAGACCCGCACGGTTCCTCCCCATCCCACCCGCACTCCCTCCCTCCCTCCCTCCCTGCCTCCCTTTTCCCTGCTCGTGCCTAATTCAATTTGCTGCTCCCCGAACAGCTCCCCATAGCTTGACCATTAACAAATGGACTTGGCCGGAGGCCTGGGCGACCATTTGGATGCTGAAGCTGCTGCCAGGCGGGCCCGGGCACCCGCGAGCCGTCGGCACTGCCAGCACCCCGCGCTGGCATCCCGGAGAGCTGCCAAATCCCGGCGGGGCCGCTGCCAGCTCCGGGAGAAAGGGGCGAGGGAGCCGCACACAAAGAGGGGTTTATAGCCCGGCCGGGCACCTGACACGGGGAGGAGGGAGGGCTGAGACGTGCTTAGCCCCGATAATCCCCGGGTTGAGTTTAATATATTATTTTATTTTTTTTTTTAATCAAAAGCGCAGCAACAGCTGGGGCTGAGGCTTTCCAGGAGATGAACTCATGAACAACTGTTCAAAATAACTTTATTCGTGCTGCTATTAGATCAGTGCACTGGGGAGCCACCAATTATTTGTGATTACTCGAGGCAGATAAGGCTGGGGCAGAGCCCAGAACTGCGAGGGATCGAGGGCACCTCGTGGTTTGGGTGTTTTAGGTGGGCAGGTCACGGGCACCCAGCACCCACGGGAGCCCCTGGCACCCACGGGAGCCCCTGGCACCCATGGGAACCCCCAGCACCCATGGGAACCCCCAGCACCATCCAAGCTCCCCCCATGGTGCTCAGGGATCATCCTGGGGGAAGCACAGCTGGGGGTTGCAGGTGGGCACCACATGGACGTGCAGGAGGCTCTCGGGATGAAGGGATGTTTGCAGGCAGATCTGTGCCATTTCAGCCTAAAAACCAATTAGCAGTGGTGCTGCAGGGCTAATTAGCCTGTCCAAAGCTGGTCTGTCCATCTCATTCATGAGCCCCAGAGCCAGCACGGAATCAGCTCAGGGAAAGCTGCAGGATTTGGAGCAGGACAGGTCCCTTCCCAGGGATGCCCATGGAGCAGCACCCCGGGGTCTGAGCAGGGCAGTGCCCACCCACTCGCCCTGACCCCATCCCACAGACCAGCCTTAAACCCCTCAGCCAGCTGAGGCCAGTGCAGGGCATTTTCCCTTTCCAACATGACATCAGGCACGAACCTGAGCACGGGCCGTGTTTGCCAGCAGGAAAATCTCCCAAGGGAACCAAAGGTGGAAGCTAAACCACGAAAAACTGGGCTGCAGGGCCCAGGCTGCTCTGGCCAGCAGACAGACTGCATGAGCTAATAGGTCTTTTCCATTTCTCGCTCCTGTGATTCAAGAAGTCTCGTCACCGGGGAGTTTTTAAAAATAGCCCTGGATGAAACAGAAGACGGGGGATGAGGGACCAGGCCTGCCTTGGCTGGGAGGCAGCTCGGGCTAACAGGACTTTTCCATCGGGCTGTTCCATGATTAATCGAGACAAGAAAAGAAAAAGAAGAAGGAAATTGATAAACACAATGGTAATTCCATCCAGGGCTTGCCTTAGTCAGGTTATTAGAATCCTGACATCATGTCTTGAAAAGAGGACTGGAAATAAATCTCGGGGAGATAAGATCTGCTGGCTGGGGGCGGGGAGGTGCACCAGGCTGACGGGGCCATCTTGGGGGTCCCCTCCCCAAAAAGCTGTTTCTCCCAGTTTTGCTGGGTCTCAAACCAGCAACAGGAACATGTGGCTTCCATGGAAACCTTACCCCTTCTTCTGCCTGCGCTCCTCGGCTCATCCTGCTAAAATCACCCTCCACACCCCAACGAAAGCATTCCTGAAGGAATCTCCAGGTGGGTGGGAAGTTCGTTTCCTGTGGTCATTTAATCAGAGCAAACACTGGGAAGTTTGGGATTGGCTCCAGCAGCGGGGGTGTGCAGTGTGTGGGTCTCCTGAGGGATGCTCCACCACGGGGTCCATGTGGGAGCAGCTTCTCACCCACAGCATGAGCTCCCCCGGGACACCTCGGATCCGGAGCAGGCTGAGCTGTAGCTATTCCCAGTGCCCCCACACTCCAGAGGTGCAGCTCAGGTGAGATGGGATGTCTCGTGATCCAAATCAGGAATTTTTCTGTCCCTTTGGCCTTTATGGCTAATTCTGGGGGTGGGGGTGGGAGAGAGGAGCAAGGTCACTCAGGAATGTCCCAGCCCACAGACCCTCTCCAGCCTCACTGGGAACTCGGGAATCGCCATTTCCGGGAGGCAAATGAAATATTCCCCCTTTTTTCCCCCTAAATGTCTTCGCTAATGGTCAGTCTCAGTCTGGGATTGATTTGACTCCAGTCCCCAGAGCTGCTGCTACCAGGGATTTCCAAGAAGTCCACAAGGCCTTTAATCTTTCCCTCTGCAAACAGGGCTGACCCCAGATCCCGACCAGCCCTGCTCAGAGCCTGGTGGCAGCCGGAGCAGATCCTGGCTGAACTCCAGAGGGGGAATTTCTGTCCTGTCTGTGTCCCTGCAGCTTCATCCCTGGAAATCGGAGCTGCTCCCTCCAGTCCTGGCTGCTCCCACCACAGCCCCCGCTCCCAGCCCGGGCAGGATGTGCTGCAGGGGGAAAATTGCCTTTTTCTTCATTTATTTTCTTTAACAAGTGATTTTTTGCCCGTGAGCACACGCTCCATGACTTTTCCACGTGCAGCCCCTCTGCCTCCCTCCCCCCTCACTGTCACTCTGATGCACAATCCCAAACAAATCCCACCTGTAAAGGAGGAATCCAGACACACAGCTCTGCTGCACCCTCCAAAGGGCTGACCCTCTCCAGCCCAGGAAATTCCTTGGCTACTTTTGGACCCTGCACAAGACTGAGTGGGTTGAAACATGCTAAAAAAACATGTTATTGCAACAGTCAGGGAGCAAAGGTTTGGATGTTGCACCCACAGATCTCCCACAGCCTCTCTCAGCAGCCTGAGCAGATTATTTTTAAAATATATTATATTATGATATTAAATATCCTTATATTTAATATATAAATATATAGGTAGGGGATATATATAAAATATATGATATTATGTTATATATATATGGGGGGGTTAAATATATATATTTCAAATATATATATATATATAATAATTTTACAGAGCAGTGGCCCAGTCACTCACTCCAAAGGTCAGGATGCAGAGGGGGGTTATCACAACATCTTTAAAAATCCTCTGTGTCCTCCCTGTGAGGATCTGCAGGTGACAGTGCCCTCTAGTGCACCCCCTCCCCAGCCCCCTTTAGCAATAACTAACGAGCCCCTGGCTCATTAGCTAATTGGCACCCTGACATTTTTAAGGTTTATGGTTGGACTCGATGATCTCAGAGGTCTCTTCCAACCATAATGACTCTGTGTTTCTACCTGGACCCACCGTTCTGGGCAGTCCCAGGGATGCTGGGACAGTCAGTGTTATCCCTGCAGGGAATTTCCACCTCCCCATTGCCGATGGGGTTTTTTTCCATAACTTTTATTTTTGCAGCGCCCTCGGAGGACAAGGAGGATGAGAAGGACGAGGTCCATGGACGCTGGATCCTGTCATGGAGCAAGTCCTGACTGCCCTTCTCCAGGCCCGGGTACAATCAGGTGTCCCATTCCCAGTTCTCCATCTCTCCAACCTCGTGGTTCCTCGGACACTGCCCAGGTGAGCTGGGAAATCCCTGGATGATGCTACTTCTTCATGAGCATTTCACTAATTACTCCTGCCAGCAGCACTACCTGCCTGGCTTCACTTCTCTGCTCCAAGTCTTGCCTTGGGATGAGAATTCCAGAATCACTGAGGTTGGAAAAGCCCATCCAGCTTAGGTTGGAGTCCCCATCCCTGGAGGTGCCCAAGGAGGGACTGGCCATGGCACTCAGTGCTCTGGGCTGGGGGATGAGGTGGGGATGGGGCACAGGGGGGACTCGGTGATACTCGGTGATCCCGGAGGGCTTTTCCAACCTCAGTGATCCTGTGATGAAAAATCCCCCTTTGCCAGAGCATCCTGTGCTCCCCCAGCTGGGGCTGAGGGAGGCAGGAGGATCCAGCAGGGCTGTGGATGCAGCTGTTTAACAGCTCCAGGACAGGGAAGGGTCATTCCCGTTCCCGTTTAACCACGCACACGTTTATTTTCCTTGGCTCTGACAGGGAAATGGGCTCCTCCAGGACTTCTCATTAAGCAGAAAAAAATTTATGAGAGAGGATGAAAATTGAGTTTTACTGTCTGAGGTCTCGGGCAGTGCTGGTTCTGCAGACATTTTTGTCATCTCGGGGAGGACTGAGAGCGTTTCTCCAGCGAAATCAAAACGTTTCACTTCCACATTTGGAGTCGGTCGCTCGGCCGGTTCCGTCCCCGGCGCGGAGCGATGCCCGGGGTAACCCGACCCCGTGGGGGTTCCAAACAAAAGCCAAACACCTCACAATTTATGTCCAGTGAAAAATAACGTGTACATGATGTAAAGCGTTCTGGGGATTTGATGCTAATTTTAGTGGTCACCTTGGCTGCCTTTGAGGAAGTTGCTGGTGCTGCCAAGAGCAAATTTACCTGATGATGGATGAGGAATGGGAACATAAAATAAATAAATATCAGCAACACCTCTTTTTTCCCCCCTCCCTTTTTGGCAGGTCGGTGTCATCCAAGGTCACGCATTTGTGGGGTAGAACTGCCAGAGCTTAGTGCTTTAAAATCACGTTTAAGACAGAGCAGCATCTTTAAGTGCTGGATTTAAAAAGAAAGGCTGAAGTAGGGTCTCCCAAAAATTCCTCTCCACTGGTCACATTTTCATGTTGGCATTAACTGTCTTCTCTCCTTGTGTTCAGGCTTGGAAGAAGCTCCCCATGAGCAACCTGGTCCAGTGTCCCTGCCCATGGCAGAGGGGTGGAATGAGAAGAGCTTTAAGGTCCCTCCCAACCCAAACCATTCCAGGATTCAGCAAAAATTCCTTTTTTTTCCTCCTGAAACCGGTTCTGCAAACTCCCATGCCAGGTACTGACCACTCTATACTTGACCTTTTTCTTCTGTTCATGGAAAAAATTGGTAAGTTGTGCTATGAGATGGAGAAAAAGGAGGATTTACTGACAGAATACAACAAGCAGGAAAGTCTTTTTTTTCCATCAGCTGTTTTTGGAGAGCGGGAATGGTTCAAGAGCTCAAACCTTCAGGAAGTTAAATCTGGAAATGGCTTGGGAGAAAACAGGCAGGAGCCTCCTAAAGTGACCCCTGGTCCGGTGGGCTCTGAGGACAGGGAGTGTCATTCCTGCCTCTCCAAGCTGCTGCTAATTACTTTCAAATAATTTATTTGCAATTAAAATGAAAGCATTTTATTTGGGGAAAAAAAAAGGAAATAAATCAGGAAGTTCCACCATGAAAACCCACAAGTTTTATTCGTGTGGAATACCAGCCACGCTGCAGCTTTGGAGATGGCCCGGAAAGATTTCAGGATTTGGGGATTATTTGATTGTTCACTTTTTCCTCCCTCTCCAAAAAGGCTGTGGGAAGGGGATGTGTGAGGGGACTGCACTAACACGACCTGCAGAGGGAGATGGGCAGAGAGTTTGTGTAGGTGAAGTGGGAAGGATGGGACAAGCTGGATTTATAGCAACCCTTGGAAAAATGATAAATGGAAGCTGTAATTTTTGTCGGGGAAGGGGAGCAGACCACGGGTGAGGGAAGAAAATAATAAAAAAGGCATAAATTAGGAGTTTGATGGTCGGGAGCAGAAAGCCTTTGGCTCGGATATAACGGGAGTTTGTCTGGAACGTGATCCAGGGAAGCACCTGGAAGTTACCTGCAAAAGGCTTTTCATGTTGGGGTGAAATTCTGTGTCATGGCTGTGCTTCCCACTACTCCCAAACACATCCTGCAGCCACCACCCACAGCCAGTGTCCCACTGAACCAGATACTGGATATATGCAGGGTATTCAGTATATACAGGGGATGTAATATATACTGGGTATTTAATATATACAGGTCATTTAATATATACTGGGTATTTAATATATACAGGTCATTTAATATATACAGGGGTTGTCATATATAGAGATTATTTAATATATACAGGGTATTTAATATATACAGGGGATGTAATATATACAGGGTATTCAATAGATACAGGGGATGTAATAAATGCAGGGTATTTAACATACACAGAGTATTTAATATACTCAGGCCAGTGCATGCTTTAAGCCAGAAGGATTCTCCCAATGGCTTTAGGACAGGGTTTGATGGCTGGTGGGCAGCTGCCTGTCCATGCCCATCTGGCAGCAGCAGTGCTGATCCCTGGGATTCGGGCTGATCGCTGGGATGTGGGGCTGATCCCTGAGATTCAGGCTGATCCCTGGGATGTGGGGCAATGAGCTCAGGGCCATGGCTTTCCCCCACAAAGGGAAGCACTTCTAGAGGAGTCTCCATCGTGGGGAGAGTGTGGGAACACCCACCTGCAGAGCCAGAGGGATCCCAGCACTCCGAGGACGTTCCCTCCCTCCAGCCCCAGGCTCAGCACATTCTCCTCAGAAGCCAAGGGAACCAACCCCAGCTTGCCCCCGGTGGAGGAGGAGCCAGTGGGATGGATCCTACCCCAAACAGTTGGGGAGTTTATTTTGGGAAGTGCCCAATCACCCAGCTTTGCCCAAGGTCCCAGCCTGGTCCGGGATCCCCGGGGATGTTTCTGCATCAGACACACGAGCAGAGCCCCTCGACTGCAACAGCTTGGGCAGAACATCCCATCTCTCCTTGTCTGCATTGCTCCAGAAGGCTCCAGGGAGACCTTAGAGCAACTTCCAGTGCCTAAAGGGGCTCCAGGAGAGCTGGAGAGGGACTTGGGACAAGGGTCTGGAGTAACAGGATAAAGGGGAATTGCTTTTAACTGAAAGAGGGGGAATTTAGGTTTGATATATGGAAGAAACCCTTCCCTGTGAGGGTGGGGAGGCCCTGGCACAGGTTGCCCAGAGAAGCTGTGGCTGCCCCATCCCTGGAAGTGTCCAAGGCCAGCCTGGACGGGGCTTGGAGCAACCTGGGCCTGTGGAAAGTGTCCCTTCCAACCCAAACCATTCCAGGATTCTGTGATTTTGAAGATGAGCATCCCCAGAGGATTTTATGGCTTGTTGTTTGATTGGAATTACTCCAGGCTTGCATGAGCAAACTGAAGGAGTAGGAATTAACCAAATATCTCTCCATGACACATTTCCACCCACCACATGTTTCTCAAAGAGCTGCAACCTCACAGCGCCCCAGACTTACCAAGTCTTGTCCTGACAGAGACAAGTCTGGCTCTAAACCTGCCTGGTTTCCTTAGGTCTGAGCCCATCCACCGCTCCCTTTTTGATGCCAGGAACGCCTCCACGAGCCGAATTTCCCTGGTAATTGTGCTTTGGATTAGTTTAGAAAATTGCCCAAGCCCTGGGTGAGCGCTGGCCGGGTCTCTCCTCCGAGCGCCGAAGGCTCGGGGGGGGGCAAAGCCTGAAGAGCTGTGAAAGGCAGAGATGTAACAGATGTTGACACGCAGGGAAAATACGAGAGGCAGGAGCCTGAGATAATAAATCTGAAAAATTAACACGTAGGAGGACGAGAAAAGGAGCAATATGTTTTGGTAATCACTCTGAACTGCTGAACCCTCCTCCCGCCGCTCCAGGACGCCTGGCACCGAGCAGATGTCACTCACCCGGTGATTAACACATTACTGGATTTCTCCAGTCGTTTAATAAAAGTTTTACGTAACATGCAGGTAATTGCTTCCAAATGGCAAGGTAACAATGTGGCCTTCTGTGGATGGCATTGTTTCCAGCATCCAGGTGAAAACTCCTCTCGTTGTCAGGGCGAGGTCCCTCCGCGAAGAGCCCGCGGCCGAGCAGCTGCTTTTCCCATCACTGCTCCTCCAGAGGCAAAGGAACACCCTGGGAAGAGGCAAAGCCTTCCATCAGGGAATATTTTTTTTTTTTCTTTCCCTTCAAATGTCCAGATGAAGGGAGCCTGCAAGACAGATGGAGAGAGACTGGTTACAAGGGCACGGAATGACAGGACAAGGAGGAATGGCTTCCCACAGGCAGAGGGCAGGTTTAGACTGGATTTTAGGAAGGAATTGTCCCCTGTGAGGGTGGGGAGGCCCTGGCACAGGTTGCCCAGAGAAGCTGTGGCTGCCCCATCCCTGCAAGTGTCCTAGGCCAGGTAGGACAGGGCTTGGAACAACCTGGGCCAGTGGAAGGTGTCCCTGCCCGTGGCAGGGGGTGGGATTGGATGAGCTTTAAGGTCCCTTCCAACACGTGTGGTTCCATGATTCCATGATGTGGGCAGCAAAAGGGCTTTGTGCTCCCAAACTGTGCCACAGGTGATTCTTCTCTGTGATTTTTAATATTTTTTCTGCTTTTCTTGCTAGAAAATCTTGTCGCTGCGGAGCACGTGGAGATGGTGGGAAGAACAGGGTGAGTGGGAAAGCCTGGGCAGCAGGGATGGGGTGTTGTTATTCATGGAGCTCTTGCCCTGAAACCAACCCATGCTCAAAATTTAAAATCCATTGTGAAACCAGGGAAAAAAAGTGATCCCAACCAGTTTCTTTGCTGGGCATCTGTCCTGATGTACAGCTGGGGGGACTTGCTTTGCTCCAGTGTGCCATCACTTGTTATTTGGGAGTCAGAGCAGGAGGGAGGTGTGACAGTGATGGATGTTCAGGGACAGGGAAACCCAACTGGCTGCAGACCCTGCAGACTCAGAGAATTGCTGGCTAACAGCCTTCACGGCTGTGAATGAGCTTCCCAAATTACTGGAGCTGGAGAACAGGATACCTTTTAAACAACCAATCTGTCATGAGCCGTATCCTGTGTCTGTCAGAGCCCAGCGTGACTCCAGTGGGGGAATCCATGACAAAAATCTGGGGAGGGCTGTAAAAATGCACGTTGATGTGGTTGTTTTGACATGACATTTCTTTTTAGGCAGCTTTAGGTGATTGCTGCTGCCACTGCAGGTCACACATGTCACCTCTGCCCAGCAGCATCACCGCTGTGGCTCCCCCTGCTCCTGAGGAGCAGCAAGGGCTGTCCCCTGGTCTTCCTCACAGAGGGAAGATGTG